TTCAAATGGAACAACTTTGAAGATTATTGAGATGAAATGGACTAAATTGGCACTGTAAGCACTTTAATCGAGGTACACAAGCTCAAAGTGGCAATAGATGGCAATTCATCAATATGGAAAATAAATATAAACACAGCCCCAAATGTATCCAAATTGTAGAAGTGGATATCGTAAAGCAGCAAAACTTTTAGGAAAGGGGAGAGTCGGGTAAGTGTTTCTCTGAAAGCGGCATACAGCACAGTGCACGCATTCATCATCAATTTTTAGCAAAGCAAGCATAAATTTGCGCCACTAGTACGTCAAATTCATCTGCGACGTATTCCCCTGTGCGCAGCATTGAAGCCAGAGCAGCCTACTATCGATCTGAAAGAACTAGTGATTGCCCGAGCTGGCACATATCGCCCCAGCTGCATTCACTGAACGCACTGACGTATTCAAATTGCGCCCATGTGAGTGCATGTGTGTGATCAATTACGCTACTCGATAAGAGCAAAGTGAAGACCACTTAGTGAAAAAAGAAAACATGTCATAAATAAATGCATGCCCAATGCATTAGCAAATGGACCCTGCACAGACAACTCCTTGCGCACTAAAAAGTGGCGCTCAATGGCCAGCCTTTTCAAATATCGTTGAGAGATAAATATGCTAAAAAATTAAATTAAACGAAAGAAAGCACATCAACACTGTAACGTCAAAAAGATAGTAAATAGGAAAGTATGATTTATTGATGAAATTAAAAGAAAGCATCCAGAATAGAAACGAAAATATGATACGAATTGCAACTTCAAACTTTATAGAGACACTGTGAAAGTAAATTACGCAGCATAATACAAGTCTCTGAGTTAGGCTGATCAGTCACAATTGTGGTTGATTTCTCCCCAACTTCAATTATTACTCCGAGGGAACGCTAAATAAAAAAAATGAAAATTTTTATAAAAGTAAAAAATGAGCTAAAATTACTTACAATTTTGATGCAAGAAGGTTTATCCGTTCCTTGGTTTTTTTCAATTACAGCATCGTTAATGCTGTTATTGGTAATAAGAGTTGCAAGTTGAAGTATATTCACATTACCAAAAAGGTACTGATTAGGAGGGAGTGTTTTGGTAGGCATTTGATGAGCAAACTCAGTTTGGTCATTTTTTGTGATTGGGCAAAGACGAAACTTGTTGTCCTTTGTCTCTAACACCCCAGTGACAGTAGCAATTTTCAATCCAGGCTGAACTTGAACAGGCATGATTCTGTTGGCCAGCTATAAAATTAAAACTAAATTAAAAACCTGATTAAGAAAAAGTTAACATCGCACTTACATTTGAATCAATAAAAAGACGTTCAAACTGACATTTTATGGGCAACTGTATCACATCTCCTCGTTTAAATGGATGCATCTTGCAGTCAGGAGCATCAATAGCAGTCGTCAGATCAGTTGGAGTTCGAGATGAAGACTGCATGTAATTGTAAGGAAGGAGAATATTTGCTGGCTTGAGATCACGAATCACTTTGTTTGCTTGGATGTAATTGAAGTTCGTATCAATTGGACAATAAATGACTTTCATTGCAAACGGCTGGTAAGGGCCAAGAGCCTCATAGTAGTTAAAGTCTGGCTCGGTAAAGATAATGTGATTGCTAGGTGACGGACCCCACAGTTCTATAAAGTGAACGACATCTCCGAAACGACAAGACGGGTGCCCGGTAAAAACAACGCACGGAGTTCTGAATTCATTATTGAATGCCTCTTCACTGAGACTGGTAAAATGTTTGATGCGTCCGCTACGAACAAACTGTGCATGGGGAAATGGCTCTTCAGGAATATAGACTCGACTTTGCTTTTCATCAGACAGCCATTCTGCGAGAATATTTGAGTATGCCAGAGAGTGCTCGGCAATTGGTGAGATGAAGTAGATTGGAATTGCGCCCAGGTTGTTTCTTTCCATGTGAATCATCAGGCATTCAAACAGATCATAGAGAACTCCAGAAGAAAAACATGGTATAAGGACATTGCCATTCCCTTTCAGAGTCTTTTCAACAATTAAACAAAACTCGTTAATTTTCATGTTGGGGGTCGTATGGGGAGGTGATTGAGAAAGTGAAGTTAGAATAAGAAGATCTGCATTCTTCAGCGGAGCAGTAGAGATAAGACGGGGATGTGTGGTAAAAGTAGACGAATTTGAGAGATAGACAATCTTTTCGTGAGCACTTTCAATAACCCAATTACAGGAGCCAATGGAATAGCCGGAACTAACTGGGTACCAGCTCAAAGAGCCAAACATACTCTGGTTTAAAAAATATAAGTAAACATAAAACCATGATTGAAAGTTCAGTTAAAAAATACGTACGGTTTTTTCAGCAAACGAAACTGGTTTAACTTTAGACAAACAGTTGTTAATTTCCTTCACTGAGTAGATTGTTTGCCAGCTTGAAGGAGGTGTACTATCAGGGGTAAAGTACATTTGCGATTGAAGATGGCCAAAAACATGAGGTTTCTTCCAAACTGAAGCTCGTTTCAATTTAGGACTGCGCTCAATGTAAGTGACTAGTTCTTCCATGTAAAGTCTGCCAAGAGTCAATGATGGTTCAGTTGCGTAAACAACTCCAGAAAACTCTGTTCTTTCAGTAATGTATGGAAGGGCGAGAATTGAACGATAGTTTGAGATGAGAATGACATCAACATGCTTTAGATCAATGCATGATAGCTATATCAAGAAAAAACAAATTAAAAAATAACTCAATTTATATTGATAAAACAAACATCTGGTATTCCAAACTCAGGTGAGCTGTCAACAAATGCCTTTCCATTGCATTCTTTGAGTTCACTCTCCAGCTGTGGCTCGCTCGGATCTTTAAAAGAGCTCCAATTCGGAAGGGAGTGAAAATGGTTACTGCAAAACAGTGTTTTCAATTAGTTACAGCATAATTCAATAAGACTTTTGACGCAAAATACCTGTGTACCAAAGGAACCGGTAAAAAAGCAAGCGTTGACAGCTGATCCAAAGCACAATCCAGCATGATGATTGTTGACTTGAACTTGATGACATTGCATGGACTGTTCGGATTGCCGCTTAGACAAGTCTGCAAGTTTGACTAGTTTAGTATACCTCAATAAAGTGCCGTAAAGATACTTACAAACTTCATGGTTGCTGATAAAATGATTCAAAAACAAAGAACAGCCAAAATGCGATTCTGTACTTTTGCTGCAAACAATTTTGTTTATTCTATTTTAAGGCTATATCAACAGTATTCGCCGCACCTAGGTAACACAAAAATTATTTCAACTTCAAATGTTAATTTGCGCGTAAAACTAAAATTCTTCGTTCAAAACAATTTTGTTAATTAAAATGTTTATTGATTTTTTAAAATTAGACTTTACAAAAATAATAGTATACACTAGAGAAAAGAGAAAAAGATGTTGATTGCAAAAAAAGAGAAAATAATAAATAGTTTATAGTGAGAAATGACAAGTGTTACGAAAAAATAGTTGCGTCAAATGAATGAAAGTTACAGCAGGCTAAATGTAAAAGAAATGGCGGTATGAAACAAGAAGCGAGGAGTGAATCAAGCCGACAACGAACTGGTAAAAGGCATGGTCGTTGAGCAGACAAGAGGGCGCTGGGGTGATTGGGAGATTGGGCGATGAGGCGAGGTGAAAGGTGCAGTCGCAGTGGGCGGGTTAGTTTACATCATTATTGATAATGGGCAAATAAATATTAACAACAAGTAACAACAAGGAGAGATAGAATTGTACAGTGCTCAGAGTAAAGTAAAGTAGAGGCATTTTTTGGCTGACTCAAAAGGTGCTGAAGCCCAATAATCATCCGGGTGATGACTTTGCTTCACATGGCCTTTCGTTGGCACATTTAGAAAAGCGAAAGGTCCACTTGTCTGCATACTTAAGTAGTCTTTTGAGGCTGACCAAATAGGCTGTGAGCTTGCCAGCTTGAGTTTGGACAATTTTGTAGAAAAGGTTGCTGTCAAAGAAGTTCTAGCAGAAGAGGTCGATAAGAAAGAAAGAAAGAAGATGGACTAATGCACTTGAAGGGAGGAGTTTATCACATGAAAGACGATCGATCGATTAGAGGAGAAATCGTCTCCACTTGTTGACATTTTGACATTAGTTAGCCGCCTAGTTGCGTCTATTTTCCGCTGTACGTCGGGTTCTTGAATGTGGTGGTGGCCTTCTTAAAGATTGGATTCACTCCCTGATAAAATAAACAAATTGGTTAGTTAGTTTGTAGGTGCACCTTATCGCGCTGCTACTTTACCGTTTCCCATTTGGCGTTCATTCGTTCTTCATTAAACTTGGCCACCTCTCGTCTGTCCTGAATAGTCGTAAGTAGCTTCCAGATGAGCAGCAAAGCAATGCCGATGATTACGATGCCAACGATAACACCGATGACGATGGCCAGCACGTCTACAGGCTGTGGACAGTCTTTGGTGTTCTGGGCGATCACAAAGATGGCATCTTCGGTTTCATCGTACTTGTACTTGAAGTTAAAGATGCAGTCATTCTCGTCCCAGATGACGCACAACTCTTCGCCCTCCAGCACTTCAAACTCTGTGGTGCCAATGGGATTAATGGTGCAGTTGGCGCACTCCTCTTTGGTCAGTGGGCCCGACTTGTGAATGCGGCACTGAACGCAGTCCTTGTAAACGTCGCACAGGTTCTTACAGGTAGGACACTGGTCACAGTACTGTCCAGTGTACTGCTCGTTCTCCTTTGCATCGCAAACACACTGACCGCAGCTGCACTTGCCGTGGCCCGAGCAGATTTTGTTCGTCTTTGGATTGACACAGTCATCCTGACTGACCTTACAGCTGCAGTCAGGTCCACTCCAGCCGTCGTTGCAGATACAGTTGCCGCACTCGCAGGTTCCGTGCTCAGGGCCAGCGCACACTTTTCCATCATATCGGTCGCAGCTAAAGTTGTCGCACTCACAGAACTGTCCGCTGACCTTTTCGGGTGCATCTCGAGGGTAGCACTCACAGACGCCGCATCTACAAGGTAATGTTGGTGGTTAGCAAACTGAGATATAGTACAAACAACGGTCAAAGTGAACTTACCGGCAAGTACCGCGACCCGAACAGAGCTTAGTGTCGTTGCCTTTGCGACACCGATCGATCATTTCCACTTTGTCAAGATCTTTGCTGTCGCATTCGCATCGTTCGCCTTCAAAACCAGGGTTGCATTTGCAAATGCCACATTGTTCAGTGCCCTTAAAATTACAACCAGGGCTACTTTCAATGCTGTTCCAGTCACGCTCGCATTCGCAATCGCAGATCATGTACAGATCGATGTACAGGGCGTCCTTAAGGCCGATCGGGTAGATTTTGATAGTCTGGTTCCATTCGTTGCGATTAGACGGACAAGATTCCAGTTGAATCTTCAAGTCAAAGACGACCTCGTCGCCAACGCGAAGGTCTTTGCAAACATTAGTTTGTTCCTTTCGATTTCCAAGACAAGACGAGGTGTAGGTGATACTGACATCACTGGTGGCGTTATCCTTCAGCTCAATGGCAGAGGTGATCTTTTTGTACTCGTCTTCAATCAGTTGTACAACGTTAGAAGAGTCACTTTCTAGTTTGCCAGCAGAGGAGCCCTCAATCAAAGACAGGCTGTTGTTCGAGTCACCAGTCAGTTGGTTGTAAATGTGAAACTGTCCTTCCGTGACGGCAAAGATTATGTTCACATGGTGTTCCTGAACTTTTCGGTTGATTTGACTAAAACAAACAGAAAAAAATTTGTTATTTAAAATGACAATAAAATGGGCAAACACTAAATTACCTGATTGAAGGGTAATCTTGCGAAATGCTTTCTGTGTAGACGCCGTCTTTATCAAGATGGCAGTGACCATCATTGGGCTTAACAATGCCACCCAATTTTCCATCGCCTGCGTAGTGAAAGCCAGCATCAGTGGAGANGGTGTTCCTGAACTTTTCGGTTGATTTGACTAAAACAAACAGAAAAAAATTTGTTATTTAAAATGACAATAAAATGGGCAAACACTAAATTACCTGATTGAAGGGTAATCTTGCGAAATGCTTTCTGTGTAGACGCCGTCTTTATCAAGATGGCAGTGACCATCATTGGGCTTAACAATGCCACCCAATTTTCCATCGCCTGCGTAGTGAAAGCCAGCATCAGTGGAGAAAACAAGCAACTTTCGTGACTTTTCTCTCCATCCAATATCATTCTTGCAAACAATAGCTTGCATGATTGCATCAAAACCACCCTCAGGGGCATCTAAATTGCCCGAAATTTGAGTGTCAGCAACCTTGCGAACAAACTCATTCGAATCGGTGTCCAGCTTCATGTGGTTTTTAAAACCATACGGAGCAGCACATCCGGTGCAGGGTTCTCGCAACCTGTTAATAGCAAATAGAAAGTTAGTTATAGGGTGTAAAAAACAAAAAATGCCAACTTACTTTTCTGGCACTGTGCTCACGTAGGGCATGACAACCTTGTCAACAAAAGAGCCAAATCCCAGGCGAAAGTTGCTGGTCAGCTTCTTCATTTTCTCCGCCAAAATGTTTCCAAGTTCAGCCAGTTTTGCTTTATCGTCCTCCATTGATTTGGACAAGTCCATCAGGTAGTACAGATCCACTGGGTAATCAAGAGCCTGTCTGAAGGTAACCTTAACGGGCACTGGATGCTTAGGTCGCAAGTTGACTGAAATTCGTTGAGGTCTCAACTGGACGGGGTCTTCATACTCTCTGGTCTTATTCGACAGCTCTTCGTCCTGATCCAAGTTCATATTGGAGGTGGGCGAGTGAAGGCTCGGTGAGGGACATCCTCGTTGTTGGAGATTGAAGACGGTGTCACAGCGAGATGTCATGTTACCAGGTGCTGAACACCAGGCACAGGTGGGACTGGCTCTGATGCACTCGCCACAGTCCTCCTTGGTGATGCATTGGCTAGCCTCCAGTGCCAGCTCGGCAAATGGCGAGCTGAACTCATCGAAGCCACCGAAATAGGTGGTCGTTGACTGCTTCACAACTAGACAAACAAACACAAGCAATGGTTAGTGGCTGTACTTGCTAAAGGGTCATCTGACACACACTTACATTCAGTGCTGATTGGCCCGCTGACTTGGCCAAGGATAAAGGCGCCAAGAAAGAATGCTTTCAGTCCGAAAAGTATCCTTCGACACAACCAATTGTGATGCATTTTTGAAAACATTGTGGTGGTGATGAAACAGATAATGGTGTGACTTGACAAAAAATGCAAATAAAAACACTTTAAAAAAGCTTGTGTAAATGTATAGAAAAAGGAATACAAAAAATATAAAGTGTAGAGTTGCAAAAGAAAATGCTAAAAATCATCCATTGAGTTTAGGTAAAGTACGACCGATTAGAATATCGATCAGATAAGGCAAATGGTAAATGAACAGGTAGAAGGAAGACACTTGTGACAAAAAAGTGAGAATACTGCTAGGATAAAAATTGCCGGCGATTCGGGTGCAATTTGGCGAGGCGGAGGAAGTGAGGCAGACGAAAAGAGGCAACAAATAAGATGGTTACGTGTTGAGTAAGGAAAAAAGGGAGGAAGGAAGGAAAAGTGTGTCAGTCGATTCTTGGCAGTGGTAAAGGTTTCTTTTTCGGTCGTTTCAATGTGCGCTTCATGTATTGCGATGATGACTTTGCCTGTGCTCTCGCTGACGGCTCCCCTTCACTCCGACAGACGAAGAAACATGGAAACAGCAAAATGGAAAGCAAATCAAATATCGCCAAGTATTAGTTGAACAAGTGTCGGCTTTATGAGTGTTTAATAATTTGGCTTCATTGCTGACACACCGTTGCAGGCAAATTATTCACCAGCGCCTGTTCAGTGACAAGTTAGCTTTGCAGATGGCTTTGCCGAAGTTTACGACCAGCTCAGCTTTATGTCTATGTATATTTCGGGAGATTCTGGGTCAATTGATGTAGAAGAAAAGTAAAGCCACTGTTTGACAGTTGTTCACTGAAACGAAAAAAGCATTATTTAGTAAGTGATCAGTACATTTAAACTTCGCTTTTGCAAATTAACTAAAACAGCAGCTGTTTGACAATTACTTAATTGTCAGATATAAATTACTATTAATGGAAGTCGGCACCAAAAAGAGGCAAATGCTCGATGGTGTGCTTCGTGAGTGAAGCTAACGAGTCCGAACGGAAGAGCGCACGGCAAAGATGAACAGGTGTGAAAAAAGCATCAGTTGCTGAAGAGTATTTCCACAAAGTGAAGGCAATCTGCAGAGTGCAGACTGCTCAAGTGAAGAGGAGTCAAGTTACAGACAAAGTGGTACTATCACAGCAAGACAGCAGAAAAAGCCGCAATACTATGCTATTGCATTCTCTGATATGAAAAGAGACAAGGGCGAGGTCGGCAGTGGATGCGGTCAACAAACGGGCAAATCGTTCATTGCCTTACCGGCAAACAGAGCAGACAGCGCAGGATTACTATTAGGGTACTAATTAATAAGCCAGATGCTGCCATGTGTGCGTGAAAAAGCGGCTCTATGGAAACAGTAACGGCTATGAAGTCATTTGAATAGAGAGCAAAAAAGAAGAAAAGGAGTTGCTGACGAAGAAGTGACTCAGCCACAGTGCAAGTGTTGCCAACCAGAATAGCAATGAAGGAGCGATGAAAAGCGGAAAAGTAGTGCATCAAATGGCTTGCAATAAAGCTCACAAATGTCGCCTCGACGGGTAATCGTAAACAATCAAAGTTGAATCAATAGCAAACTCTATGTCTAAATGGTTTATAGAGTTGTGAGTAAGAAAGCTATGATTTTAAACGAATGCTTTTTTCAATGGGTTGAACGAATCAAAAACAATTTAGAAAAAGTGCTAAAAGCAAACAAAAAATTGTATAAAATTAATAATTAAGATATAAGAAAACCCATTGCTCTTTTGCCGAGTTGTGAGTCATATTCGTTTCTTTGTCAATTAGTTTGCTCATTTACATAATCAAACAGTGCCATTTGGTTTTGGTTGTCCATGTTCCACCAAGAATCAAGCAAATGTTTGCATAATTGCCCCTCTGATGAAGGCTCTCATCAACGTGCTAATCTTATCAGCAAGCAGTATGTGCTAGAGCTATAAATACACCGTCATCAAGTAAATATTAAAATAAGATGATGCACAACTGATAATACTGACGCGTTGGCGCATTCTCCGCAAAAAATGTGACTGCTGGAGATGTCAAGTGAGAATCATGATCTCTTGGATCAACAGTAGATCATCAAAGAGAGTGCAGTAACTGAAGGCTCAGCAGAAGACATGTCCTCAAAGTGATGGGTGCTGCTTGCTTAAATAAGGGTTCCATGAGGACGATAATCATTGTGCTCGTCGAGAACCGGCACTTTGCAAGTGAACCGTTCAAAAGACGGAGTATAATTAGACCGGTGCTTCAAAGATGAAGCAAAAGTGAGCCACAAATGAGCAAACAAACATAAAAAAGTGCACATCAGTGCCAAGATACAGATCGAGGGAGAGACAAGGCAACAAGCAAGCGTTGGTGTGTGCCACACTTGGCTGACACCACTCACTTCAGCGGGCAGAATTGCCGATTCAAGACACCGATGTTGGAGGGAAGGCACACATACAAACTGTGTAGAATCGAGCAGGCGACTGAGAAAGCGACAATACCGTCACAACGGAAAAGCAGCACGTCGTGTTCCCATTTGTCGGCGTTAATTGAGACTCGAAATGCGCTAAAACTTTTTCAGCTTAAAAATGTCAACTGAACTAGTAAAATATAATAAAAACAATTCAATTGATTTGTTTAATAATACATTTATATAAAAATTTTATTGACGAATCAACTTTGTACTAGTGAGCTTATGTTCAGAAAACTTGAGTGAGTGTAAAAAGCGGAGGAAGCTCAGACGAGCATCTCCATACTTTGCCGAATAATGCGACTAGTGGCTACTTCTCTCAATGACTGTCTGTACTATGTGAATGCAATCCAAATGGTGGCACCATTCAATGGCCGGAAGCTGGCCGTAGTCACTGTACGATTGCACTGCAGCCCCAACCACATCCACACACATCGAACAGATTTTTATTTAATATTTTTATCAACTCAAACCTGCCATTGAAGCACAGAGTCAAGCAGCTCGTTTTATACAGCACCGCCACACGTCACATTGCCATACATGGATGTCGAAGAGTGCAGTAAGAAGTAGTAATAATTAGGATTGCCGTGAATGAAATTAAGGTTAGCACAGCAAGCAGAAAGCGCAGACACGGGCAGAGGAGAAACTTGCAGAGGAGGGCGGCAGCAAACGCGAGGAGAGGCCAAAAGAGCGAAAAAGGCGCCAGACGACCGAGTAGTGCCAAGAATGAACAAGATAAATTGGCGACGAAAAGCACATACACACAAACACACATAAGCGACACAAACAAGAGACAGGTAAACAGAGAAGGACGTATTTGGTAGTGTCTCAAACTGATGTCAATTGGCGAGTGGCTGTGATCTTCTGGGGAGCTGCAGAAGAACTGCAAATGAAATGGGCAAGTGAAACATTCGCTCCGTTCTGCAGGGTTGTCTGTGTTTAATCAGTGACGCTTCTAAAGTCACTAGTGAAAGGTCAGTTAGCGAATAGTCTGCTGATGATCACTGGACAGAGATAGGCACTGAATAAATGAAGCAGAAAGCTCGAATGGACCACTCGGGGTCGGTCGAACAGTTGACCCTGCTCTGCCACACACAAACACAGACACATAGACAGAGTGCGCTTGATCGCCTTCACATGCGTCCAGTGCCGCGAAACCAATTCAGTGAGCTATTAGGGCAGTGAACGTTTCAGTTACTGTTTAGGGTGCTCCTGGATGGCTACGAGTGAACACATGTGCCACTGCCGAGTCGGCGATCGTCAATCAAAGCCAATGGGCGGCAAGGGACATGTCNCTCCTGGATGGCTACGAGTGAACACATGTGCCACTGCCGAGTCGGCGATCGTCAATCAAAGCCAATGGGCGACAAGGGACATGGGTTTTATTAGTGCAGCCTGGGCAGTTGTGTTTTTGTTTAGAGTCTTCCAAAGAAGAACACTGAAGAAGCACAAAAAAATCATTGACAGTGACAGTGTTTCATGAGCACAGAGCTCGAATTGCTTAAACTCGAGTTTGCTGCACCACTGACGCGCCAACAAACCTGACACTCGTAAAAAGAACATTCTTAGGGTTTCAAGTATACAAATGGAGAAAACAAAGCACCCCTTTTCATAGACAAGCATGAGCGAACGCGACGAGGATAGTGCAGAAGGCTGAACAGCAAAAAGCGGAAGATGTGCCGCTCGTAAATTGTCCATGCAACTCAGTAAAGTTACCGGTAGTGGCATACAGGCAAAATCAGAGAAAGAGATGGAAAAAGCCCGCAAAGTGGGAAAGGCAGCTAAGTAGGATTAGCGTGGTGCTTAGTGCCTTCTGTGGGCGGACGATGACGGACTGGAGCAAGTGCAGAAGCAAAAGAAGAATGCTAGCAGACTGTTGCAGCCTGGCTGCACCTCAATCTGGGTTATTATTACAGTGCTCCAGTCTGCAGTACACAGGCGTACACCGCAGCAGCTAGAAGCAATCTTCCAGACGGTGGGAGCATGCTGCACCAGCTGAATTAGATGCGCCCACTGGTGCAGAGACCGAATGGGCCACAATTTGTCATCATGTCGATGGCGACATTTGAAGCAGTCGAATCATCAGCAACCACCTCCACTGGTCTCACAATGGCGCTGAATTATTTATCGCCCAAAAGCGCACAGTGGCAACAATCGTCAGCTGCATCGAGTGGTTCAATTTGAACCACAAGGCGCCCTCTTACTTTGAGGCACTTTCGGTTCCAAGCGGGTGTACGGAGTGCTAAAAATACAATGAATAAGAAACTAAGAGGATAGCAAGAGAAACACAGACACACACTTGCACATACACAAACGTACTCAGTCACTCTGCGAAGGAGAATCACTGAGCCACAGTGCGCGGCAATATGAATAATTGCCCAATGAAGAATCTGCCCGATTCAGTGGCCGAGTGGCGCATCTCAAAATAGGCAGCACAGCCATTGGCCACAGTCGTTTATCACGACAGTTTCAAATACAGCTCTTCATTTAGTTTAGCTCACAACAACGCCAATGCCGGAACAGAGTAAGGGGATAAAGGAAAAACAAACTATTGCTGACTGCAAAGGGG